AAAAAAAAAAAAAAAAAAAAAATTCACTGAAGCCAAAAGTAGCCTCTCACAAGAATGCTAGCTGATATACTGTTGCTGATGGGTTCCTAGAAGACTTACCTCACAGGAGAAGCCTTACTGCAAGGGATCTGCCCTCCAAAAAATAATTCTAGATTTTTCTGGGTTTCCCTTGTAGAGTTACATATGGAAAATTCCCTGTTACCATTTAAATGTTAGGCTTACACAATTAGAGATTTTCAAGTTTAGCGTTATATGACTGAATTCAGGAATTATTCTCTATAGCATTAAACCAACAAAAGGTAAATCATATTTACTCCAAATCAGAGTATTTCCATTTTTTCCCCCCTGTCTTTTTGAAGGTTGAGGCAGGTTTGGGCTTAGGAGAGGACTAGTTAGCTGCTTTTCTGTGGTTGGTATTTTAATACCACTCTTTCTCACCTGGGACATGGGTACTCACCAGAAGGCTATGACACAAAGTATGGAAATGCTGCTGGTTTGTCTCCAACTCATCCCAGTCCAGCCTCCAACAGCTTGTGGGTCTGAGGATGAATGGGAGTCCATATGTCAATGACTCACAGACCCCACTAGATTTTAGAGCCCTAGGAAGAAATAATGACAGCGAAAGTCTCCTCAGTGATAGAGAACCTCTGCCCAGATCCACTTAAATAGGGTCTTAAAGACTAAGACCCTCCTGTGAAAGCTTTTAGATTAGGGCCTGTGCATTATTATTCATCTTTGAATGGCCAGAAGACCATCAGTGCTCAGGAACCTGTGTATGGGCACTGTGGAAGGAACCAGGAAGCAAAGTGGCCTCTGCCTTCATTGCTAATCTACCCTGTAAGAGGTTCCCCTGGAAGAGGGAGTTCTAGTACTTAAAGAAATGAGAAGAGGTGGGGCAGATCCTATGTACTACTTACTCCTTGAAGGTTGGGTCTTTGTCCTGATGTCTAAGAGTAGTAGGTACCCCAAAAAACATTTACTGAAAGGATACACACCTTTCTACTGATCATTGTTTCTCTGTGTTCAGAGACTTTCTAGATTTCCAATCCTCATCCAGACCTGAGTGTCCTACTGTAGCACTTTCCTTATCATCTGCACAGTTTGGCCTCTGCATTCTGAGTAGCCCGACCCTGCTTCTTTATGCCATACCTGTAACTGCTACTTTGGAATTGACTCTTGCCTGACACTTAGAGATACCATCTATCTCTGGACTTGCTAGCCATGGAAGCAAAGAATAGCCTTTGCATGGATTTGGAGGTTCCCTTGGACCATACTTGATCACTTGGAGCGTGTAACGAGAAGCTGATGACAGGGAAGCCATCTGGTAGAGTGTACTAAAGTGTCCTTTGGGGTCATCTGTTCTCAAGGAGCCATCAGCTGTGCCAGGGAGCAGGGATGGGCTGAGCAGTCGCTCTTGTAGATCACATTTCAGGCACACTACAATAAAAGCAGAATTGGAGGAGGGATTGTGGGTCACAAGTTACCCCAGGCTATGCCATTAAGAGACAACATCTGCCACCTATTCCACCTCTACCAGGCAAGCAAGGGATGGGAGGAGGCAGGGGAGTGTAAAGAGGAAAGCATGACTGGCTTCGGAAGGAAGAGAGGTCTGGAACCTACAGTATCTCTATCACTCTGAGTCTGAAATGATTTTTACTTCTGGGCTGGTTGAGCAGTCATCTCATAGTACAAGATCTGCCTTGTGATCCAGTCTGAGAGGAACATGTGTCGTCTTGGAGGAGGCAGCTAGTGCCAAAATATGCAGAGGCCCTTTGGCAATCACAGAAGGAAATCTTGCCTCTGCTTCTTCCCTGTGGCCAAGGTTTGGCAAGACTGCAGGTCAGATGAAGGAAGAGCAGGAAAGCAGAAGTCAGGCAGTCGGGTGACCGCTAGATTCTCTGTGAGCTCTTCCAAAGACATTGGGAGGGGTGGTGGTTAGAGAGTAGGGGATAAGTTCCTGAAATAGCTTATTTTTAAATTTCTCATAGAAACCTGAGTATAGGACTTTCTGGAACTTGAAGCATCACTGCAGCATCAGACAATAGTCCTGAAGAGGTCTTAGATTAGGTATGAGTTACTCATCTAGGTATATACTCTTCTGTGCTAAGCTTTTTCACATGCCACAGTATACAATGGCCTATTGCACTAGACTTGAATGATTGATATTCCAAGTTTTTCGATAAAATGTATACTTTGTTAGAATATTGATAACAAACTTGTGAATATACGAATGTTGAATACTGGTGAGAAGGCTAGTAATTGATATTAGTGATTTGTCAAATGATTGTACTAACTGCAACATGAAGCAAAAAACAAAAAGTAGACCTAGACATGAATTCTGGGTGAGATGGCTCTCTGCCTGGCACATCCCAGAGCCCAGGAAGTCAATAGGAGGAACTTTGCCTAGGACTCCAGCTTCCCCTCATTTCCCCTGTGCCTGACTTCATTTCTGGTCTTGGGACTTTAGGACTACACAGCTCTGTTCATTTGGCTGAGGTTCTCAATGCTGGTTGCAATAAATAACACCTAGGGAACTTTTAAAAAATGCTGATGTCTGAACCCTGCCCCACACCAATTAAATCAGTATTTAAATCACCAGTTAAATCACCCATAGAAGTGGAGCCCAGATATTAGTATTTTTAAAGTTCTTCATGTGGTTCTTATTCTAGCTGTGGCCTCAGCAAAGTGTTCTAAAGCTGGGAAAGCTATTCTAGCAGAGCTTGAATCTAGAACCAGGTGTGTTTCTCACCAACCAGAGCCCAGGTGCAGAGTAGCAGACCCCAGACCAAAGGACAAGAAAAGAAACTCATTTGTAGCAAACAGTGCACTGTCTGTTTTTTTGTTTTTTTTTTTTTTTTTAAGTCGGAGTCTCACTCTGTCACCAAGGCTGGAGTGCAGTGGCACATTCACGGCCACCACAGCCTCAACCTTCTGTCTCAGACTTCCAAGTAGCTGGAACCACAGGGATGCCCAGCTAATTTTTTGATTTATTGTCGAGATGAGGTCTCACCATGCTGCTCAGGTTGGTCTCAAGCCTGAGCTCAGGCAATCCTCTGTTATAGCTGAAAAAGGGGATACACATAAAAAACCTGAACATACTGCTAATGGCCAAGAAAGAGCCCTCATAGAAGGCAGTAACTCCAGTGAGTCATTTTAGAGCCTGGAAGAAGAGCTTCAGTAAACATCATATCCAACCTGCATAATGACCACTTGTATACCTAACCCTGCATTGTACCCCACATCTTTAAAATAAAAAAATTAATAGAGAAAACAAAAACAAACATCATATCCAATCCAGTCCTCAGTCCTCAATGATCTCTGTAGCCATTACCAATATTCTGTTCAATGAAGAAGGGCACAGACTCCCATTCAGTAAAGGAGAAGACATATTTTGGTCCTTTCCCTTTGGAATGGTGCCCTGAGGAGCCAGCTTTCTCAAGCTCAGTGTGGCTGATGGGCCTACAATCCTAGGTCCTGAGTTAACCTTCAAAGGGTGTGAGACATAACAATGGACGTATACCATCTAGTGGGACTTGGAATGAAGAATCACTGCCAGACAAACAATATCCAGGTCTGTTGGCAGACCCAGAGAACATTGGATTGATCTTTTGGTTTCAATAATTGTCAGAACTGCTTTGTGAATATGGTTTTGGGTCACTAGTTGTCCTTCCTGGGGTCTGTATGTAGTTGCTTTCCTCAATTTGCTGCTTCCCTAGTGAGAAAATCTCAATTTAATCCTGGTTCTCTTCCATTCACCACTGGCCCTGTTGATATTGTTGAGGTACCAGTCTCAGATTATAATGCCAATATAAGTATGACTTATTGTGTTCTTATGTAGTATGCCCTAATCACACTTATTGTGTTCCTATGTAGTATGCCCTATCATTGAAACATGTAAGACTTTGCCCCTAAATAACTGGCCCTTGCTAGTTGGGCTTAATAAGGTTCAGCTTTCAAACTGTAGTCACTTTTTAGAATTCTTCTTCTTATTCTCATGCTTATACTGGACAGCCTCATCCAATCCTCATCCAGTCCCTAAGCCTCAACTACTCTGTATTCTGATGACTCACCAATCTAGAGTCCCAATCCCTGACAAGGATGATCACAGCCTATATATATTTTGGGGGGGTTGTGTACTTGAATTATCTCTGGCTCTGGAAATGTTGCTGAAACATTTTGAAGGAAGAAGAACATGGATATGTTCTTGGTCGGTTCCACTGTTATGTAGCCAGGCTTTGAAAAAAATCTCCATGCTGACAATATCGTTGTCTATAGTCTGAAGGTCAATGTCAGTTCCCAGGATAGAACTCTCTGCAGAATAAAGAAAAATAGTGGTTAAAGTGCCTAATTATTTGATTGTAAATTTCAAATAAATAAATAAAATTTTAAATACTTGTCTCCGCCCCCCTCTTTTTTTCTTTTGAGACAGATCTCACTGTGTCATCCAGGTTGGAGTGCAGTGGCCATTCACAGACATGATCATAGCTTACCGCAGCTCCCAATACTTGGGCTCCCATGATCCTCTTGCCTCAGCTTCCTGAATAGCTGGGACTACAGGTGTGCACCATCATGGCCTGGCTATTAAAAAAAAAAAACTTATAAAAAGAGACAGAGTCTCACTATGTTGCCCAAGCTGGTCTCTAACTCCTGGCCTCAAAGCAGTTTGCCTGCCTCAGCCTCCCAAATAGCTATGATGATAAGTGCGAGTCACCACATCCAGCTCCCACACCTATCTTTTGACCCATCAATTGTACCTTTAGGTGTTTAGTCTAGAGACATTCTTGAAGAGTATACAAAGAGATATATGAAAAGATATTCAGTACAGCATTGTTGTAACAACAAATAAACAAAACCCCAAACAGGAAGCAATTCAAAGTCCATCAACATGAAATTGTTTAAATTATGGCACAAACTATAAAGTTTATGCAGCTGTTAAAAAGTAAAGCTACCCACTGTGAGAGTTTTTCTGTCCTCTCAATAAATCCTGCAATCTCAAAAAAAAAAAAAAGTAAAGCTAAATATACTGACATGGAAAAGTAGGAGATAGTAAGTTACTTCTGTTAAAAAGAATGAACCTAAAAAATGAACAGAAAAAAAGATGAATTCCTGGGATCCACTTATGATACAGAACCAAGCCTGAAGCATGAGCCATTGGCACACTGTATCTCAGTGTGGTCAGCAGCAAGGAGAATGGGGATGGTCTGGTGGAGTGTGATATAATTCCAAGTCTGAATGAATGGAGCTGGGGAGGGGGGCAGTGGGTAGCAAGGCTTTGCTGGCATACTTCTTGCTTCCAGCAAAACTAGCTCAGGAATTGGGGTCTGAGTCTGCAGGTAAAGGTTGTCAGTGAAAGCTAATATAAGGTGGTAGAGGAAGCCCCAAAGAAATGAGGCAAGAACTGGAAAGAAACTGAAGAGGAACCTGACTTTCTTCACTTCATCACGAGGGACTCTCTGAAACGCTTTTACAAAGAGCCTAAGAAAAGTCAGTTGCTCCAATGAATTAACTTCTGTGTATGACTCATGGATCCCAGGAGAAGGCTGGATTATTTCTAGAACGACATTCCTGAGGACAGGCCTGCAGAGGTAGCAGACTCTCTACAGGGAACAAAGGGGCTTCAGTCCAACGTGTTGGTCCCAATGCAGGGGAGGTGTGGTGACAGTGAGATGACTTCATGTCATTTTTAACAACTTATCCTGTGGCTAGGGGCACCAAAGGCATTTCTCAATGGCCGGAATGATTAAAACTCTACCATCTTCTACAAATCGTTATGAGGATTCATTAGTTAGCTAGCGATTTCTTTCATTCCATCAGATATATATGACACTCTGTGCCCTTAAGGAGTTTATAAAGCAACATTAATCTTGGCCATTCCTCCTTAAACTCTCATCTGCCCTATTATGTTTTAGGGTACTACCATGATATATATAAAGTCATTGCCAAAAAAATGTTCCTCGTAAGTAAGGAGAAATGCTCTCTTAAAATAATGTGACTCAGCTGGGCTCGGTGGCTCAGCCTGTAATCCCGCGCCTTGGGAGGCTGAGGTGAGTGGATTGCCTGAGCCCGCGGGTTCGAGACCTGCCTGGACAACTTGGCGAGACCTCATCTCTACAATAAATCAAAAATCAGCCGGGTGTGGTAGCGCGTGCCTGTAGTTCCAGCAGGTTCCAGAAGGCTGAGGCGGAAGGATTGTCGGAGCCCAGCAGGTAGAGGCTGTGGTGGCCGGGAGCGCCCACTGCACTCCAGTCTGGGCGACAGAGTGAGATTCCAACTTAATAATAATAATAATAATAATAATAATAATAATAATAATAATAATAATATTGTGACTCTTACTTTGCCACAGGCAAACCAAGAAGTAATTTAAGTTTTCAGAACCTGAAGCCTGAACTTTGACTAGAGTAACAAGTATGGAAATTACGGAGCAGCTTCTCTTCAGTGCGGCAAAACTGTTCTTAAAGCATAAGAGGGCAGTTACAAAACTACAGAAATGAAATTGAGGCTAGGTATGGTGATGTGTCCTTGTAGTCCCAGCTACTTGGGAAACAGAGGCAGGAGGATCACTTGAGTCCAGAAATTCATGACCAGTCTGGCCAATATAGCAAGACCCTGTCTCAATTGAAAAATAAAAATAAAAGAAATAAAATTAAGCAAAGAAACTTAGAAAGTAGAGAATAAAATTCCTTAGGGTTCAAATCACAAAACTTTGGAGAAGAGAAATAAGTGTTTCTTTTTTTTTTCTCTCCAGGGAAAGATGATTAGAAACTCCTACCATGGGCAATGTGAGGGTGCAATACAAAGTCATCTCCCATCACGAATCTGGAAATAAGAAAAATAGGAGTTTCCTAAAAGAGTTAAACTAAAGGCTGAGGCAGAAGGATCACCGGAGCCCAGCAGGTCGAGGCTGCGGTGGCCGGGAGCGGCCATTGCACTCCAGTCTGGGTGACAGAGTGAGACTCCAACTCAAAAAAAAAAAAAAAAACAGTTAAACTATAAAATCAACACACAGTGGCAAGGTCAGTGAAAAAGTTCCCTTAAGAAGGGAGAATGGCTTATTGCCCAAAGCAAGATTTGGCTGTAGCCTTATTGGTATTGGTACTGACATATCTAAAGGATGAATGTGTCTACTGGAAGGGCTGACCAGACATGGAGCACAGAGAAGGGGAGCAACTGGGATACACTCTGGCAGTGTCTGACAAGTGTGGCTCAGAGAAGGTGTATAGACTCAGTGAAGAGTCCCAAAGGGCAGGATGTTTTTGGCAAGTCTCTGCTCTTCTTGGCAATTATGCTGATGATGGTTCTTCCTCGAAAACATTCTGGTTTATTCTTTAGTCTTGAGCTTGTGAAGATGTGTGTCTGTGAGAGAGTGCTGACAAAACCAACTTTCTGATTCTGAAAAGCTAAAGAACCAAGTCTGAAGCACAGCCCCTCTATGAAAAACAACACCATGCTGCTAGTTCCTCGTGGCAGCCAGCCCGCCAGCCAGGCTTCCCTGCTGACCTGCCACCAACGTTCCAAGGTTCTTTCTAACTTCCTAACCTACCCATTCTTGGAAGAGTCACAGAAGAAGCTGCTTCCCTTGAAAAAGTTCTCATAGACTCTCTGTAGAGATGCTGCGCTTCAGTTTTGAGACTTCAGTTTTGCAGACTCAGGAGTAAGCACCCTCTCAGGGACAGACTCACATATTCAAACTAGAGACTGATGTGTAAGCCAGAACATTTTAGAGGGAAAACTTTTCCATTCTCTCTGTCACTGGTTCAGGCATTCATTTCCTTGTGCTTGGATTATGGCAGAAGAGAAATAATTGTCCCAGCCAATTCTATTTCTTCTCTTCCACTACTTCTTCTGTACTTCTACCAGTTACTTTTTCTAAAACATGGTTTCATCAGATCCTTCTTTTGCTAACTAACACATATGGCCTTCCTGCTGTCATTCATTCATCTTGTACCACTTGGTACTACTCATTATTCCACAACTATCCTACCTTTCCCTTTCTCCGTGATGGATCAGACTATTCCTCCTCATCACTACCTGTTGAGATCCTGTATTCTCATCCTTTGAGACCAAGTTCAAATGCTACTTCCTTCATGGAGTCTGCCATGATCCATCTTTCATCTACTGCATTCCCACAGCAATTGCACTTGGTTTATGTTTGCAATATAGTTCACATTACATTCTGCCTTGGTACTATTGGTATGTGGGAATACATTTGATTTCTCCCATTTAAATCTATTTAAATGTAAGCTCAAGGGTAGGAATTGTTTTTTGCATAGTGCTTAAGCTTACTGAATGCCTGTTGAGTTGAACAATTGCTCCCTTCTCCTCAGCTCTTATTACTTTTCCTGTAACTCTTCAGCTTCAGCTAAATTTGCCTCCTTGCCACATGACTTCCTTCCTTCCTTAGTGCTTTTATTACTCTATCAATCCATGGCCTGCCTCTCCTCCAGAATTCAACTCAGGATCAACTTTATCCAGAAAGTGATGCTTAATTATATTCTCCCTTATCTGGCTTTAATTAGCACCCCCCCGGGTACCTGTGGGCATTATTTGAGCAATATTAATCACACTTGCTAATTTGGTTCTTCTGAAGGATTTTCTTCTCTTTTCATGAGTCTAAGAAAAGCGGTGAGATTTAAAGACCAAGTTTGATCTGTGGCTTGAAAGTTGTTAGCTATGTGATTTTCAGCAAAGTGGGGATAGCACAACTTGCTTTTTAATAATAGTGAGGCACTACAAAGTGAGATGATTATCTATAAATGGCATGCAATAGGTCCAACAAAGTCGTCTTCTTCCTTTTTTCCATCAACAAAATGATGAGTTCTTATAGGATAATAATGCACTTCCCTTTTTTAAAGCTTTCCTTTGGTCACTGCTTTCTCCCCCTACTACCATACAAAAAGAACACCAACACCTAGTATATCTACTGTGTTTCTCACAAATACAACTAAATGTGCTAAATCTGGGGATGGAGAGGAGACTTCTCACTTCTCAAATGTTGAAGAGAAGCTCCCTCATTGGCTAGAGAGCAAGGCACCATGCACCGGATGAACAGGTCACACAGAAGGCATGAAATAGAAAGGTCACAGTAGTGTTTGGGTGGTTAAGACCAGTGAGTCAGGAAGGCCTCATTCATCACAGCTCAAGCTACAGCCAGAATGCACATTGTTTTTGGACTTACCCTGCCCCCCTGTGGCTACAAGCAGTAACATCCTTTTACTGAGCTCTTGAACTTTTTTGGAAGGGCCACAATAATGGGAAAAACTGGCGAGAGCGGTGGCTCACGCCTATAATCCTAGCACTTTCAT